TTCTAAATGCAAAATCGGTCTTCACCTTAACCTCCATACACCCAGTCACCTCTCAGGGAAAACATTCAGGAAGCCAACCCTCAGCTTCATTTAGCGTGTTTACAATTTTATGTTAGAACACATTTTTCTGTAAAGAGCGCTACGCCACATGCCTTCAATTTTGCGGCTGGTACTGGATTTAGGATGTACTCACCCCCACCGCTTCGCCCCATCAAAACACAAGCCCAAGGCCAGTGCCAGCCCGTTGGCGCTTGGCAGCAGCTCCAGCAGGCAGGGGCGGAAATGGCTGGAAGGAGGCAGAGAAGGGGGACGCTGTCAGCACCCGCAGCCACGGAGGGCCGCCCCCAGATCTCATTTCAGCTCCAGCCTCCAGAGCTGCCCAGAACACGATCCTCAGTGAGGCCTCTCAAACTTGAGGAGCAACAATCAGATGTAGTCGATCTTCACTTCCTCACAAGGCTTACATCCAACACTGAAAACCAAGTCCATGCCACGAAATTTACTTTGAGACATTTATGTCTTCTTGATTTTAAATGCTATGCCAGTGCAGAAAGAGAAGGCAGGCCCATTTCACTTACTGCTGTCTAAGCTAAAATCTCAAATAAAATTTCAGCATGCAGAATTGTACCAACATGGAATTTCTCTTTTTTAAAGGCTAATCAAGTGAAGCAGTGGGAGTAGAGAAGGAACAAAGGAATCTGTAACTGGCTGTGATCAATTACTTGTAAACACCACTGTACTCAGACTACCCAATATGGAATGATTATCCACCATGATCAATAAGGACTGACTCAAAGAAAGTTAGGCTGGTACCCATGCATTCAGCCACCAATCCCTCCATTTATATGTCCCCCCACCCATCCTTCCAGCCATATGCCCATTCATTCACCCAGCCACCTTCCCACCCTTCCTTCTAACCATCCATCCATCCACACGCCCATGCAACCAATCACATACCCTTCCAACCACCCATCCATGCACCCATGCAACTATCCACCTACCCTTCCATCCAACCACCCATCCATCCACGCACCCCTGCAACTCTCCATCCACCCACCTACCCTTCCATCCCTCCATCCGTGCAACTATCCAGGTACCCCTCTATCCATCTATCCACATATCCATGCAACCATCCACGTACCCTTCCATCCATCCATTCATCCATCCATGCACACATGTAACTATCCACATATCCATCTACACGCCCATGCAACCAACCACATACCCTTCCAACCATCCATCCATGCACCCATGTGTCTATCCACCTACCCTTCCATCCAACCACCCATCCATCCACACACCCATGCAACTCTCCATCTACCCACCTACCCTTCCATCCCTCCATCCGTGCAACTATCCATGTACCCTTCTATCCATCTATCCACATGACTATGCAACCATCCACGTACCCTTCCATCCATCCATCTATTCATCCATCCATGCACACATGTAACCATCCATCCATCCATGCATGCACACATGTAACCATCCATCCATCCATGCATGCACACATGTAACCATCCATCCATCCATGCATGCACACATGTAACCATCCACATACCCATCCATTCAGTCACCTATTCACCCATCTCTCCATCCATCCACCTGTCCACTCATCCACTTATCTGTCCATTCATCGGTCCATCCATCCAACCAGCCACTTACTGAGCACCTAATCTGTGCAGGAATTAGGCCAGGTACAGGATGATGAGAAATGAAAAGTAAAATTCTGTTCTTCCAGGAGCCATCAGTCTGACCCAGCAGGCAGTGAGGACAGGTGAAAGGTGTGGCAAATATACCCACGATGTGAGTACACCACCACTGTCCCAGTCTGCAGAGCATGCCACTGTTCATGGGGTAGCGAGCATCCACTTGGAAGGTAAACTCTTAAAAGTGGAATTACTGAACAAGAAGCTGTGTGCAATTATAAGGCTTCAGTTACACCCTGCCAAAAAGCCCCCCAGACAGGCTTTGCCAAATGCCCCTCTTCTGTGCTGCCCACATGGCGGCAACTGCCCTCTTCCCTTCATTTTAGGGGTTTCCATATCAGTTGTGAATCTCAAACCTCATCAGCTCAAAGATGGCATGACACTTCCTGAGAGAGCTGACACAGCAGATAGAATTAGCGTAAAGAGAGAAGGGAGAAGCAGGGACATTTCCCTCATTGTTACGGACTGAATCGTGCCCCTGCAAAATTAGTATGTTGAAGCCCTAAGCCCCAGTATCTTGAAATGTGATTCTACTTGGAGATGGAGCCTTTAAAGAAGTAATTAAGGTAAAATGAGGCCGTTGGAGAAGGCCCTAATCCAACAGGACTGGAGTCCTCCTAAGAAGAGGTGACTAGGACACAGACACACACAGATGGATGACCAGGTGAGGACACAGGGAGAAGATGGCATCTACACGCCAAGGAGAGAGACCTCAGAAGGAACCAGCCATGAGACACCTTGATCTCGGACTTCCAGCCACCAGAATTGTGAGAAATACATTTCTGTTGACTGAGCTGCCAGTCTGTGGTAGTTTCTTATGGCAGCCCTAGGACACTGATTCACCCATTCGAGGGACCCCACGTCAGTGGGCAAGAGCATTTGCAAGAGGCAGAGTCCTGCTGGTTGCGAGTGAGCCGGGGGGTCTGGTACAGGCCTCCGAAGGCTGCAAGGACAGAGGGTGAGACGACTTGCACAGGGCAGGTGGGCTGCTCAAGACGGGAAAAGCTGGAGAGAAGTGAACGCTGCCGGATCTGCTCCCTCGGGTCCAGGCTGACTTTAGCTAAAACGCCATCCGTTTTGCCTGTGACCCAGCCAGAAGTCACCTAGCTCTCTCTCCTCTGACCTTCTTAAGTACCACATAACTTTTTAAAAAAATTATAAATATGTGTCATCACCTCAATCCTAAGTATCTGTGTCTTTCTTTTCCTCCTACACTGTGAGGTCCTTTGGGGGCAGAACCTCCGCCCTGCTTACCTTTATATATAACACAGGATCTTGAACTTCACAAAAAATTTTATCTCTATTTGATCTGCATGAACAATGAACAAATAAAAATCAACTCGTATCCCAACATTCTTCTGCTAGCCAAACAGAATACAACAGCAAACACTTTTCATTATCATGTGTCGATTAGCACATCAGTAATTTATATTATTTGCACAGACATGTTTACATTTCATTAAACTTATGCAAAACCCTGGGTATCGTTAAACTTTTGCATTACAGATTTTGGTTTTGGTGGGCCAAGGATAATCCTTTCCCCGAATTTTCATTTCTATTACTCTCAAATTTAATTTTTTAAGTGTATTCTTTCTTGCTGATCCTTCAGAAACTAAACTGTCTCTGGAAAAAGTTGACAACCACTTTCCAACATTCAAATTCTGTAATTTCGCTGAGCCTCCCCACTCTTAAAAACACACAAACAATTCTGAAAATTGCTGGGTTTGGAGCTCAAAAGCGGAGAGCTTCTGGAACCAGTTTCTTCAGCATGGTTATGCAGTCTGCTGGAAGACACAGCCGTGATAAATGAGCACCGGCCCCACCCCTTCCTCTTGTCCTTTCAGTATTGACAATGCCATTCACTCTCTCTCACACTCACACACACAGCATGCACGCGAGAGCCGTCCATGGCAACCCTCCCTACCCACAGAAGAGGAGCCACACTCTGGCCATCATGGGTGCCCTCTGCACAGTCTAAAGGCTCGTGGCACCAGGCAGAGTGCCAGAGCAGAGCAAGGTCCTGCGTGGCAGAGCCCACAGAGGGCCAGGCCCACGACGCACTGCACAACTGGGCTCAGGATGGCAGCGGTGCCCGGAAGCCGGCTTTGAAGACAGACCACAGCTGGCGCTCGGCACGTGACTTACTCGGAATCCACAGTAATAAAGCTATAATTGTGCTTCTCAGACACGGCTAAATTCTGTGGGTGGATTATTCATCGGCCTTTCTTACTCATGGGTTCTTTGTTTTAGCCATGCAGACTGTTAAGTAATTGCAGGGACTTCCTACACAAGCACACACAGAATATCAATCCTGTCACCTCAGAGCCACATAAATATTTGATACTCTTGTATGAGGCCAACAGCACTTGGCTTAAAGCCAAGTGAAATCAAACCCCATTACACATCAGGCTGTTGAAAGCAAATGTTTAAACTGGTTACTTCTGCAAAAGAACCTTAAGTTTTGAGGTCACTGTTTAATTTGAATGGCACGCCAATCACACAAGATTCTCCAGGCAATAGAACAATCTGCACCCAGCAGTACCGCCCTGTGCACTTACTCCCACCCCTGCACCAGCCCTTTCAAAATAAGATCACACATCTTCTGCAGAGACATAGACCTTCTTTCCCGCCCACCTTGTATTTAATCTAAATCCACCCGCACCACAACGAAACAGCTACAGTGCACATTCTGGAGTTACAGCACGCAGCACCACAGTCCCTGCTGCTGCAATTCTTGCAGATGCTCAGAGCCTCTCTCTGGGAGTCGACCGACTTCATTTCTATTTTAAACCTCAAAATAAACTCATTAACTAAGTCCAATTTAGGAAGGCTTGCCCTATTCCTTTCTGACTGACAGTCCTCAGAGGCAACTCTAGTTTCAAGACTGTGAGCCAAGAACACAGCTGTGCGCTAGGTGGCTAAAGCTTCCCTTCAGCCAGGTGCCCCATACAATGACTCAGTTCAAGTAGCTTAAACTGAACTTCTCATTTTGTCTCCATAAAGAGTCTCACTGTGGGGAAGACTCAGCAGCCATTTTAAGAACCAAAAATGCCACCATGGTGTTAGAAGGCGTCTCCGCCCTTGGGGTGCTTCTCCAGGCAGGGCTGCGGGTGCACCGGCTCTGCTCAAAATGCCAGGGCACTGGAGACTCTGGAAATCACGCCCAGTCGGCAGCTGCTTGGGCTTGGCAAACACCAGCTGTCTGGCCATATTAACCAAGCATCCACCCACCCTACAGAAGCCCGCCCCCAAGACACCTTTTGAGTAACCTCAAATCCAAATTGCACCCACCTCGGAGTGGACCGCCCCTCCTCGGCATGGACCGTGGAGGGCAGTTCTCTGTGCTCCCTGGCGTCCTCCGCGTGCCTTCGAGGTTGGACAGAAGGTTCCTGCGAGGGGCAACACAACGAGACACCAAGTCACCAAGCTGCCTTCCTCAAGACGTCTGATATTATGAAAGCCCTTATTTGTGGGTTCGCCTTGCACGCCTGTACCACGACATCAGCGACGCCGCCTGCTGTCTCATACCAGGACCCGGCCGAGATCCTTGCTGGTTCAGCTCCACAAAGCATTTCATTGAAACAACTGAACTAAGACCCAGCCGCCACCCACTTCTATTCTGGGCAGGAAACAGAACTCCCACGTGAAGCCTGTAAAACTGTGTGGCACAACTGGCCAAGAGAAATAAAGCACAGCTGGTCACAAATCACGGCGGGGAAGCCTCGAGCCCTAGGACTTGTCAGAGTGTGGGATTCTTTGCTCCTGATGCACCAAGCGTGCAATTCTTGGAGGTCACCTGAACGGTCCGCAAGCCAGGGCAGACCGGCAGCAGAAACGAATGCTCCCAGTGTCTGCGTGAGATTTCAGGGCCAAGATGCCACGGAGCCAACTGGCAGCTTTCTTCCCATGCACACATTAGGCATCTTACGTCAAATCTACCACTGGTTCTTTCAAAAAGAAATCGCATCTGTTACTGCAGACATTTTTTTCTTTGAACTATACAAACTCATATGCAATAAGCAAAAAGAAGCTGAAAGACGGGAGAGACTGTCGACTCTGACATATGGCTGAGAATATGGAGTTTTCTAGAAAGCTTGATGTTAACTCTCACCAAAAAAAAGTGCGACGGTTTAAGGCATTTTAAATATATTTTGCCCCAGAGCAATCCTTAAAAATACTTGCAAATAAAAAACAGAATACCAAAAAAACCCAATGCTACAAATATTAAATGGCATCAGTGTTTGAAAAGGGGCTATCACGTTTTATCTTAAGCCTTTAGATGAAGCACCCATTTTCATTTCAGAGGGATTGTCACTGTTTTCTAAAGTTCCCCTCCAAGTCCTCTGCTCAGCAGGAAGGTCGGGGCGGGCTAGCTGCAGGAAAGACAGGAGCCGGAGATTATGGCCACAAGGCTGGAAATGAAAGGGGCGTGTTTTCCGGAACACGGCATTTAAGGCGCCATGAATGTATCAAAGTCGTCCCTAAGTAGCTCTCACACAAGTCCTTACTAGAAAAGCTGGTGAGCATAAATGCTCTGGCCCGGACTCGAGGAGCACCCACACTGGGCCACCTGATTTTGGGGGTCCTGTCTGTGCCTAAAGATGGCAGTCAGGGGCAGCTAGCCCCTCACTGCGGCGCCACACTCACCTGTTTGTAGTGGTCCGTGGACGGTGATGACCGGGACCTTTCGTGAATGTAGCGCGGCCTCTCTTGTGGGTCCAGACCCGCGTCCAGAATGTCATCTGCTGAGTGGTATCGCCCAGAACTCCTGGCTTCCAGAGGTTTCCTCTGTTCTTTCCAGGAGGCCTGATACTCTGCGAAGGTTCCGAGTCTCTGTGGCGGTTCCAGTTTCCCTGACATTTCTGCTTTTCTGTGACCACCGAGGCTCTCCCCGAACGAGCTGGTGCGCAGCCAGGGGTCTGCGCCCTCATACCCAGGGCCTGCTGTCCGCGGCTTCTCCCTTGGGAATGCATGAAGTGCCTGTCTCTGTCCGGGCCTCTGGGGAAGCGGCTTGCTTGTTTCCTCAAAAAACTTCCACCTATCGGCAAAAGTGCCCATGGTTTCCTCAGGTGTCCTGGGGAGCTGGCGAGGACCGCAGCCCGCTGAGAGGCCGACCTCATTCATTTTCTCTGGTTCAGAGTACGACTTCAGCTTCTGCTCTGCCGTGAACCGCTTCCGGCCTCTGATGCGGGGAATGTGGGGCACACCACTTCCAGACGAGGCTGGCTTGGCCTGGCCTGTTTCCCAGAAGGGGGGGACAGTGTCCGGATCCCCAGGGAAGGAGGGTGAGGCCCCATGGTGCCCCATCCTGTGTTCCGGTGACCTCGGGCACTGGTCCACCGGGTTGGGGTCCAAGTCACGGCGCTTGAAAGACGTGGCCCTCAGGACCCGGGCTTGGGCCTCCTTCAGGTGGTCCTTGTAGGTGCCAGTGAAGGGTCCTTCTGGGGGGGTGCAGGCAGCCCCTCCCAACTCAGCCCTCCAGCCTGCTGCGGCGTCCTCCGCGTCACCGGCTCCAGTCAGAGTGGCCGTGCTCTTGCTCTTCTGCAGCTTGGCCCTGCGCATCTGGATCTCATTCCGCAGCGTGGTGGCAAACCGGTCGCTCCTCCGAGTGGGTCTGCCCACCTGGGCGTCAAACGGCGGTGGCTTCGCTATGCCACCACCCTGGCTGTTCTCTGGCTGGCGCGTCCCCTCCTGGGTCAAGGAGTGCAGCAGGGGTGTCTTATGGCGAGAGATCCTGCTGCTCTCTCTGTCCTCCCACTTGAAGCCGTCTGCCGCTGTCTGCTGGCCAGCTCTGTCAACGTGGCTGGCCCCGAGAGGCTCCTGGGTCGCTGTGGAGCAGCCCTCAGCCCCTGCGTCTGGGGGGTGACACCATCCTGTCTCACGGACACCCAGAACGCCCTCATGCTGAGGCAGGTGACGGCGTGGGCTCTGGCCCACCAGCTGAGAGGGAGGACGCTGGAGGGCCCCCAGGGCCGTGTCGGGAGGCCAGCATCCCCCTTGGGGCTGTGCTGCCTTGGCGCCCGCCTGCAGGGGCTGCCTGGTGGGCACGCAGTGACGGGGGCCCTGCCCGCTGACATCCACCTTCTGGTCGGCAGCGCCGAGCCCCCTCACCTGAGGGTGGCTGCCATCCTGGAAGTGGGCAGTAAGAGGCTCCGGCCTGAGGCCCGGGGCCACAGGGCTCTCGTCACTGTACTGGTGCGGGTGCTGGCCCCCGTGGGGAGGCTGCAGGAAGCGCATGTCTGTGCTGGACAGAGAGGCCTGGAGCCTGCCAGGAGCCCTGTCTTCAGAGGACGGCCAGCTGCAGTCCAGGTGGGCCTCCTGCACGTAGCCTGGGCCTGGGGCTCCCTTCCCGCAGCTGGAGCGCACCGGCCTCCGTGGCCGGTCGCTGGGGTCTGGTCTCCAATCACTGTGGGGATGAGCCCGGGCCGGGGCCGTAAAGTGCTTCATGGTGGCCGCCTCTGAGAGCGGGGGACCCTGGGGCTTCTCATGGCTCTTAGTGGCAGCGAAGCTATCACTGCGGAGAGGGGGTGGGGGCGGCGGTGGGGAGGAAGGTGCTTTTCTCTTGTCAGGAACATACCAGACCGGCCCAAAATTGGCCCTCCCAGAAGAAGCCGGCTTCGGCTCAGCACTGTCCTCTGGCCTGGGGCTGTTACTGCTGTCACCAGGGACCCTGGGCAAGAAGCACCCCAGCCTGTCCTCTAGGCCTTGAGGGTCACTGGCAGCCTGGCCTTGCCAGCTGCCACCCTGCCTAGAGGCGTCCCAGAGGCCCACGCTGTAGAGGATGTTCTCCGTGGAGGAGGCGTCGGCCTTGGACAAGGTGTGGTCGGGAGTGCTGGAGCTGGTGGAGAAGGAGCCGTAGGCCGAGTCACGCTGGCCATGGCCGCCCAGATGGTCGATGCTGCTGTTGGACTTGGCCGCGGAGAGACGGCCAGAGGGGTAGGGGTGCGAGGGGTGGTCCAGGCTGTCCACGCTCCCCAGGGAGCTGAAGTGGCCAGAGGTGCGCTGCAGGCTCGTCTGCTCCCACGAACTGGACAGGTCATGGGAGGAAGAACTACAAGAACAAGAAGGACAAGGCACGCTTCAGCAAAAGGGCAGGACTGCAGGACAACAGCATCTGAACACGGCTGGCCCTTGTGGAAGTGCCAAGATTCCAAATGATAACTCCCCGGGGTGAGATCCCTGGGTCTGACATTTCACCTCGGCACATCTGAACTGCGGCAGAGAGGGAGAAACCTTCCGAGCACAGGCTGAAAAGACTGTGTTCTCCTCGCGGATGCCTTTTTACCAAACAGCTACCTTTCAAGGCTAAATCCCGCACCGCCAGCAGGCAGTGCCCGTGTTAACACTTCCATCATCAGTCCACAGTTAAGTACCCGAGTCAGCAAACTGCAACCCAGGAGCTGAGGATGGTTTTTATATTTTTCAAATGGTCAGAGGAAAAGAACTCAAAGGAGTACTATTCCTCCTATTTGACCTGTTAAAGTTATATGAAATTCAAGTTGAAGTTCATAAATAAAGTTTTACTGGAACGCTGTGCGCATTTGTTTATGTTTTGTCTGTGGCTGCTTCCAAGCAGAGATGTGAAGCAGCTCAGGAAATTTCACCCCAAAATATGACTCCTTGGTATTCTGAATTAAGACCCTTGGAGATTAACAGGCCCTTGAAAAAGAACAATGGACTTCCCTTCCTGCCCCTATTATCTCAGTATATTGCGGGGGAAAAAGAAATGATCAACAATGCAACCAGACCTGGTCCAAATTATTTACACATAATACCTGTCCCTCAGGATGATTTAATTTGCAAAGAGAATCATTTACAAGTCCATCTGTCTCCCCATCCATTTGTCCTCCCTAGCACCATCTGTCACCCCTGAACAGAACTACCTGTACTCCTCATTTCCCCTCCCTTCCAAAAAGACAGGTATAAAAACATTGGAACTTAACTGGAATATTCAGTGCTTCTCCCCATGCGCATGGTAAATAAACCTTTCTCTTATTAATTTGCCTTAATTGTGAGTTGATCTTTCACTGAACTTTTAGGGGAAAGGGCAAGTTTCCTGTCACCCCTACTGTTGGGTCTGGCAGAAGGTAAACAGGTGGCAAGGAAGTGGCTAAGGGCAGAGAACAGGAACTGAATTGCAGCTAGGAACCAAACTGCAGCTAGGAACTGTTCCCTAGTGGGAATGCACACAATAAAAAGTTCCTAGTAATCTTTAACTGACCTATAGAGCTCGTTACCGTCTAATTAGTATAACATGGGTGGAGCCTCATGAAGAATTCTGGGGAAGGTGCATGCGCAGAAAGGGAAACTATTACATAACCAACCTCTTGTCAATAGGTGACCACAACCTGTCTATCACCCCAAAGGCAGGAAATGACAACCAATCCTGCCAGGAGAAAGGCGGGACAAGCTAGTGAGCTTATAAAAGGCAGCCATGCTCAGCCTTGGGAGTCTTTCTCTACTCCTGGAGACTGACCCGTTCCACTCTCTCTAGGAAGTATTTTCAGTTTGTGGCTGCCTTCCTTACTTTCATTCTTTCTTTTATGTGATGAACCGTTTGTATAAAATTGCTCTGTGTCTGTGATCACTCCGTGGTTGGCTCTCGACTCAGGAGCCATACGGCCATACTCATTCTTGACACTGGGAACTGGGGGACCAGGGAACATCCACACAGACAAACCTAACACTGCAGGTGGGTAACTGCAGTAGAGTCTGTCTGGCCCACAAAGCCAAAATGTTTCCTATCTAGCCCATGGGGATAACATTTCCTTTCCAAACCCAAATATTAAAGTATTAATAGGTTCTCTCTAAACTGTCAGTCAGCTGGATATTTGAGAGCATAAGTGACAGGCTTTATTTATTAGCAAGAGCACATGCTGCTGTGCTCAGGTGACTAGTTACACCATACACAGTCGCCGGAGCTATGCATGAACACCAAACAACGCAGGCTCCTAATCAGGACGGTGTCTAAGAGGGAGGAATAAATGATTAGCTGAGAAATTAATTCTTCTGTGAGGTAGTAATTGTATGTGTGGCTGATAGCTCTCAACAGTGACACTACTTATCCCAGGCGTTAAATGCTTTCCTTGATGCTCAACAAGCTGGGACATTCACACTTCAAAAGAGAACAAATGGCTGTGGGGGGGGGAGGGGGAGAGAGGGGAGAGGAGGAGAGAGAGGGAGGGGGACGGAGGGAGGGGGAGGGGGAGGGAGAGAGAGAGAGAACGAACGAGAACACACAAACTGAGCATCCAGGACAAGGATGCAAGAGAACGGACTCGCTGAGTCATCCGCGGGAGGGACCTTCGGGGTTTTACACCATTTTTCCGTGAGGACAGACCAGGTGTCTTCAAACATGGGGCATGTTCCCGGCCACCCTCCCCACAACATTCCATAGGTGACTCTTCCACAAAATCCTACATCTGAGCAGATATTTATAAATAACACTAAGTGCTGTTTCCACCCCAATGTGGGCAGGATGGGTGTGTCTTTCATCCAGACTGCCCAATGGGCTTAATGGAGACCTTACTACCCTAAGTCACTTCAGCAATGAAACGAAAGGCCTGCTTCTCACTTAAGCTTCACTACTCACTTGAGAATCTGTGGTTTTCCAAAATTGCTCTGGGCTCTACATGCCATCATCTCGTCACTCCAAACAGGTAATATTGTATTTGAGAAGTATTTCCTCCATGTCACGGAAGTACTTTACTTTGCAATTCTGCAGCAGGCCCGTATTTATTAACAGCCAGAAAATTGATTTTGAGAGGTTATGTTAGCTCCAAACACACACACACACACACACACGCACACTCATACCTGCACACTCACGTACACATTCAGGCACACACACAGACATGTATGTGACCTACAGGCACACTCACATATACATACAAGTGAACACACAGATACACATGCACATATAGAGGCATGCACACTCATAGACACACGTGTATACTCACACACGCACAAGTACAGACATAAATACACACAGATACACATGCACACCCATACACACACATGTATACCCACACATGGACATACAGGTACACGGATACAGACGCACATTCAC